AAGAGTTATCTACGCCATTATCCGTAAGTTACCAGAATGTTACAGAAGGAGCAGAAAACCATCTGTTGTTTGGTGAGAACAGAAGGGCGTGTTTTTCGGCAGGTTGTGAATTTAGACTTTGTATGATCTATCGATCTTTTGGGAGGAACATTCGGTGGATTTGCGAAACAAATTCTTGCGCATGATCTTGATGTTGCGCTTTACAGCCGCCGGAGGGGTCCTTAGCACACCACTGGAAGGTTTACCAACTTATTCGTAACTGAACACATCTTTATTTAAGTTTCATCACAGAGTTGACAAAAGTTGAGTCCTTTGTCAGGATTGCTGAATATCTGACCACTCGGACTTGGTTAAGGTGTCGACTAATCAGTACGAGTCTCAATGCTATCTCTTATTTTGTGTTTCGGATTTTCATGGAAGATGTTTGTGGAACGAAATATGTAAATGCACACACACACACACACTTGCGGCTTTCAGTTACACATTCAGTAGCCCTTTTGAAGACAAGACACTATACCGGTATAGTGCGAACTAATGTGCTACTCACCTTCACCTCGAATGAACAGAATATTTCTCCTATGATCCGGAACTTCCGTGGGCGAATTACTGTTTATCATAGACACTTCTGGAGCATTCTCCTCTTACTGTTAGACGACTCACCGTATCACCTTGAGCTGTTTCGAGCTTGAACGTCACTGGAAATTATCATTTTCCAAATGATTGCCGAAATCTGTTTTCGAGATGAGCAACATGGCACCGGTTTCATGCAGGGTGCGTTTTCATTTTAAGCCTAACCGTAAAGAGTAAGGAAATATCACTTGCATGATGATGGAAATCTTTGCCCAGTGTACACCGGGAGCATAATTTTCATTTAACGTTCTCTACTCCTGTTACTTTTCTTCGCCCTCTTTCACCACGTGGCACCAATTGAAGACAGCATGTCGTTCTGTTTAGGGAGAGGCGTTTCTACACAATACTCGTCGCATGTACAAGTATTAAAGTTTCACTATCGTTCACGCTCGATTTCCCACGTTTACCTGGTCCCACTTTCCTTCTCAAACATTTTAGCGCCTCATTCTATGTAGAGTGAGCCTACCCGGCGTTGACAGCTATAAAGATTGTCCTTGGGACGCTATTCAGGAAGCCACCGTCGTGGTTAGTTCTTTTCTCTTTTGATGGAGTGAATGTCAGTCGTTGTTTATTGACCTTCACAGATGTTACTTGAAGTCAATCATTGTTGAGTTATTCTGTATGGTTTCCGGGGGAAAGAACTCTCCCCGGATAGATGAATTACTCACACGTCACAGTTTACAATGCTAAGGACATGTACTCCGCGTGCGAGACAACCATGTGACTCGCAGAGCACTTTCCATCTAGCTCACTTCTGAGGGAAAGCGGCTGAGAGATAAACAGTGTATGACCTGGGAACGAAATATGAAAACACTAACCTATAAACGGGGCTGTACTCACTAATGGTTATTGGCCATGGCAGATATGGCCTAATCGCGCAGTCAGTCGCTCTGGTGGATTAAAGCATAGCTACTCAATTTTCGAAATAAATTAACATGCCATTACCTCTACTTCTTGGCTGTATTTCTCACTTTCCGGTGATCAGAAATGTAGTAGCTGCGACTGATATTTGTTTGGTACAGGGTTTGCAGCCGATAATTTGATTGGATTTAGTTGTCCAATCATTTTACCAACATTATAAGTAAGATTGTCATGAGTACAAGGATGCAGCGCATAATCTTGAGGAGAATGAATCAGAGGCTTGGGTGAAGGTGGGAACATTTGGAGTATAAAACTCTGGAAAGTCTTCCCTTACCAAAATGTGCGAGATTTGGGAACATCTTGTTGGCACTTTTATCTCATACTCATCGTACTCGCTAAGTCAGTAGAGAGCATCTAACAACAACTACTGATCCTTGAAGAGCTCATCACAATATAGATCCAGATTCATGTGTATATTTTAAATTTCGCTTATTGTTTTTATCATATACCTTGGCTTATTTCACAAGAGACAGCATACTGCCAAAGTTGGGTTCGCCGTTTATGCGTATTATGCCACTTCCAAAACTCGCGTAAAATGTTAGTTTCGTCGTTCTTCATGAACACAACGTCAGCGAAGCAAGCTGTGTGAACGTAATGCACTGCCCATAAGGTTGCTGAAAATTCTTCGATAGCCCACGACCGGTTTCCTCCTTCTTGGGGCTCATCAGGTAGACGCAGCTTCCGAGTTTCCATCAACCTTATGTTCTACTTGAATCCAACTTGCACGAAATTAGCGAGATACATTCATTTGCAAACCAATTTGGTTTTGCGAGAGACTCACCTGGAACACCATAAATGACCGACTCATCTGAGTTCTAGGTGAGTCTCTCGCAAATTAGTTTACAAATGAGTGTATTCTGTTAAGTTTTGTGAAGTTCGACTTCTGACTAGGATTTCGATCTATGATCGGCTTTAGTCCTATGTGCTCGCAGGAAGTCTGAAGAATTGTCTGACAGCTTGCGCGGACAACTGTTTACTACACGCTACAAATGAAGCACCCCCCAAATGATACCGGTTTTGGACAACTCACACAACACAGGGCCAGGATTCTGCGCATCGAAAAAACCCAAAGGTATGCGGTTTCAAGCATCGATAAAGCTTTCTCTCTGAATTACCAGTGCCAGTGTTTACACCCGAGTGCTTGGCAAAGTACACTTATGAGGCACCTATCTCATGAGCACAGAGAAGAGTGGGATCGCCTGAGGGCCGTAGGAAAGTTTTCAGCAGCCTTATTAGCAGTGTGGCTGGATTATGAGGCACCTATCTCATGAGCACAGAGAAGAGTGGGATCGCCTGAGGGCCGTAGGAAAGTTTTCAGCAGCCTTATTAGCAGTGTGGCTGGAAGCTTATTTGTGGATACCTAGTGAGCTACAAATAAAAAAAAATAATATTCTTCGTTCTGTGCCACACTGGATGCACCTGTGAGAGTTATTTATGCAGCTGCAGCTGGCTGTCCTTTTCCAACTCACCCATTAAAGGAACAACCTTTTCGGTTCTGCGGGTTTGTTATATTAGACAAAATGCAGTGCGTGAGGTGCAGTATATCTGCAAAACCTCACAACCAAGAAAATGAAGCAATGATAAAATGATACGTGAGCGCGGCCGCTCTTCTCAATATGCGGTTCGCTCAATGAATCTGTGGTTAGCGGATCAAGGAGGTTGGAAATGACGTGGTTACCGTACAGCGCATTCAAGGGTCCAAGCTCTGTTTTCTGTGTCCTCGCACACATATTTGATTGGTTGAGGTCAATGCTAGTGTCGGTATGTCTGAACTATAGGAATCTTGAGTGTCAATTTGGTGTTGGATAATATGAGACTGCCTTAAAGATGTCGAGTGATTATTTTGGTACCCGAAAATTTGCGGAGGGATAACATTACCAGGGTGTAATTTGTGCGCATCAGACAATCACCAAAATATAGCCATTTAGTTCTTCACAAACAATCCAATGAGTTCGGCTACTTCGTGATATTATGTTCATATTTTTTTAGGGTTCTATTGAGTCGCCAATTACCTGGATTATATAACTGGTGCAACTGATCCTCATGTAATCCCTTCGTGATGGCCTTTCCCGGCCTCAAAGTTGGATGGAAATTGCAAGTGTTACTTAGGTTGAATAGTAGTGTAAAAAGCGTTACACACAGTATATTCTGTTCAATCCAAATCTTCCTTCTAGTTACGACTGAGTCGACTCATTTCATACGTAAGACTGCGAAGCACACAAGTGTAGAGTTCCTGGAATGAGGGGACTCAATAGAGCTCACCAATTTCAGAAGCAATCTGACTCAGTCAGCTTGATGTTAATACGGCCGCAGTCGTTTAGGTATCCTTGTAGTTTGACCATGTCTATGAGCTCCCCTCTTTGTGGTCAGTGATGCCACAATCACAATTTTACCCAATTTTTTAGAGGATAGAATTTAGTCTCTCCACCGGACAAACCAAGTTAGTTTGAAGATATTTTAAGTTAAGAGTTTTGCTGTTAACTATGTAAAGTCACAGTAAAGCTGAGGCATGTTTTGCTGACAGTTCTCATCGACGTTAACTTTTTTGATGCAGTAGGTATTGATATTGTGAAACTAACTACTTCATACTAGAGGATGACCCACACCTGGCAATATGGATGCTCGATTTTGAATTAGGTATCTTTCACTCCGTACAGTTATAAAGATATTTTTGGGGCTTTTGCATTCGTTATTTCCGGGTTTTATGTTTCTCTGAATAAGCACTGTTTGAATGTTTAGTCTCATTTTGCTTCGTTTTGCTTCAAACTTCAGTTAGCAAACTTTTTTCTCTACAGGAAACCCTCATCGACCATTGGAACCCAAGTTGCCGGTGACTCATACATTGCCTCGATTTGTACATTTATCTGTGAGATAAATATATGTAAAGTACATAAGTGGTGTTTTGAACATCCTACCGGCTTTCGTCAAATACGGTTGTAGAATCCATTCGCCTTTGTAATTTTATCTGGTTACCTACCTAGCTGGAGGGTTCCTAGGGGAACAGACGATGCTTAAGGATAGGTCACCTCCATTTGCAGTCCGTATGGTACAGCTTTCCAGCTTTAAACTTCTTATTGAAATTAGGTTGGTTCAGCCCTCTAATACTAATCGACAAAAATATACGGAGCTGAACTCAACTCCATATCTCAAGTCTTTGCATAAAGCAAATGTTCATGGAGACTAAACTTCACCGGTCGATTGTTTGGATACTATCCGCTCTCAGAAGGATCCGACACGCTTCGGTTTTACTTTTTTGTCATGCTGTCTCAGACTGATATAAATGACGTAAGCTGCACTGTGTTATGTCTCTCATACTTTTTCAGATGTTATTCTGGGGAAAAATGCGAGAAATGAATTCGTCTCAATGGTATTGTTCTCACTGCCTTTGTCACATTATTCAGGGATCTCAGTGTGTTTTATTACTGCGGCTCTGTTCACTGGGGATAGCGAAAAGTAAAAAGAGGCAGCACTACGTATGAGGGTAACGGCGGAACGATTTCAGTGAAGTTTAGTCATTTTGAAATGAGACATCAACTCACCGATACACGAGCTTTATTGGACCATATCTATCATTTTGTTAGACATTAGTTTGTCTTGTCCCGACAGTTGCCATCATGGCTATGCTTGTTACGAGGGGTTAACATTTACGTTGCTTGCCTCCGTCTTTGACGCCAAACCGACGGACATTTACAATACGAGCTTACTACACAAACTAAGAACAACAGTGTTAGGTGGTGTCCATTCCAGCATAGACATAGGCACTACATTTTGTGGGACATCCTTATTGCTCTGGTCAAAATGGCTTCATTGAGGTCCATGATACACGGTACGATTGTGACTAATGTGACTGATAACCCTTCTGCTACTAATAGGCACTATTGTGGGACATCCTTATTGCTCTGGTCAAAATGGCTTCATTGAGGTCCATGATACACGGTACGATTGTGACTAATGTGACTGATAACCCTTCTGCTACTAGCACTCTTTCGGTGTCTAGCTCTCACACTGTCAGAAGAAAGCATGAGGGCTAGAATACTGCCGGGTTGACCAAGACCGGACAGAGCAGTCGGTATGCTCAGAATGGTTTCGAACCACGAACCTTCCGGCGAACAAGTTCGCGACTAAACAACTGAGCTGTATCGGGCCATCTTATTGGGTCGCAGTTTCCATGAGATGACATGATATCGATGATTTTGGAGCATATGCAGTACTTTGCCTCATGTTTGGTTCTTGATTGATCATTCCTAGCAATCCCACAACGGGTTTTTCTACTGTGAACCGCATTCACGAATCTGGTGATTCTGGTCGCTTGTGTCCTTGCCACAGACAAAGATGAAGAAATATGCTGGAAGAGTGACAAACTATCGGAGGCAACGAGGGGGAGCAAATATGATAAGTTGGGGTGGTTGAATGGATAAGAAAAGAGCCATTGGTTTCGTGATTTAGCCGTACAGGGGATGGCCTCCAAAGGCCAACTGGATAGATCTCTGGGTCTTAGTTCTGTAGGAACGCATACATTAACCTGACCAAGTCGAAGATTTTGACTGATCACTTTTTTCACGTCAGCTTGTCTACCTGTTGTGTTCTTCCATCCCAGTGACAAA